CCGCGGGTCCCAGCCCTGTCTGTGGCGTCTCGCCTCTGGCCGGGCCGTGGAGGAGGCCCTAGGCAGGCCCTGTGGTATTTCTGGTCTCCAGCTTCGAGAACAGTCCGCAGGGGCCTTTGCAGTTCCCTCAAGTCTTCCCTGAGCTTCCCAGGGTCCCCCTCCTGTGACGGGGGCCAGGGCTTCCCTCCTGGTGGTGGGTGCACCTGTCTGTTCTCTGCTGCCCTAGGCCAAGCTCAGCACAGCCTCGGGTGCCCACGCTTCCCTGGCGCTCCGACGTGGGTCGGGGTCCCCCAGTCTTGGGGGTGGAAGGGGGCAGGCCAAGCTCTCCTCTGGCTGGAGGTGAGAGAGCACACTCCAGGGGAGGCCACCTGACCCAGGCTCCAGCCCTGCTCGGATAGGCAAAGGCGCACCTGAGCCAGCGGGCCGGTGTCCCCAGCGTAGCGTGCAGGATTCGCACGGGAACCAGAGGCAGACGGCCACCGGGGCGGCCAGCCCCACGTCCTGGGTGCTGAGTGAGCCTCCCGTTGGTGGCCTGGTGTGCACTGAATGCCCAGCGGACGTGCCGCTGTGCCCTCTGTCCAGACGTGCATGTATCTGCACCCCAGGCATCAGGCGCGACCTCAGGACTCAGCAGGAAAGGCAGGGGACGCCCGCGGGTCTGCAGTACTTGGAACGAGGCCCTTCCCCTCGAAACCCGCCTCATCATACCATTGTCCTGACCATTGCCGGGTATTCACCCTTCTCAATAAACTTAGAGGCATGTTTCGAGTTCCAAGTAAACTGTCGGGTTGTTGACTGAGAATAAACAAATGAATGGGCTATTTCACAATCCTGCACCAGGGCCTCACTCCACGCAGAGCCAGGGCCGTCTCTGTGGGGTCTTCTGCGATCTCAGGCAGGCTCCCTGCCCCCTGAGACACAGCCACACACCCCTCCCCACGCACCCTCTCTGTGACCCCCTCAGGCCCTCAAACGTGCTCTGCATACAGCGGGTGATTAGTGTCTGTGGACCTGAGTGGCCTCGCCACCAGGGTCTCCCTTCTGGTCCTCACTCGGACCAGGCGACATGGAGAGTTGGTCACCTCAGCGAAGGTGACCTGCCCCCCTGGACTTTGAGAGGGTGTGTGTGTGTTGACGAGCAAAAGGAAAGCGAAAGGCAGGCACATCGCTCCATCACATGAGGCAGCTGGGTGTGGGAGATGCTGACCTTCTGCAACCAGGGCACGGCGCCTGGAGGAGATGGGGTGCGGGGTGCCCCGAGCCCCAGGCAGTCCTGGCCTGGTCACCCTCTGCTCTCAGGTATTTCGTCTGCCTGCTGAGGGAAGCATACCAACCGGGCCGGCCCCGCCAGCCTCCCAGGACTCATCAGCCTCCCCGCCCCACCAGCTCCCAACCTCTGCAGTTTCTAATACACCAGGTCTCCCCCAATCCTAACAATTATTTTACATTGACTAATTTTTAAAATCGTATTATCTACTCTAGCCTCACCTTAAGAAATACAGATCTGTAGTGATCGTTAGATGTGCTATTTATATGTATGTTTTTCTAACGTGCAATGAACTGGCTACAAGACAAGCTAGGAAGTGTTATGGACTCCCTACCACCACCGGCATCCTCCCGTGGTCCCTAGATCTGTCCTCCATCTTCTGCTGTGTCCTCCAAGGGAGGCTGGAGTTTGTGCTCACTGAGGGCATGGGCTCCAAGATGGGCACTGGCTGGGGCTCCAGGCTTCTCTTCCCACTGCCCAAAGCCTTCCCCCCACGAAAATCTTCCCCCCAGGCTCTGGGCGGCCCTCCCCTCACTCACAGGCATCTGTCGGTCACTCTTCACACTCTCCTTGTGTTGGGAGAGGTCCTGCCTCTTTGTGAAATCCCCTGGTTCCAGACTTAGGATAAGGGGATAACTGAGTTGCTCCCCTTTTCACCTCCAAACTGTGCCCACCTTGGGGTGGTGTCACATCCTCCATCACAGCCCCTGTGGCACTGGGTGGAAGTCAGGAGAGCATGCAACTCAATCTCAGGGCCATGAGTTCAAGCCCCACATTGGGTGTGGAGACTATTTAAAAAAAAAAAGTTAAAAAGAAAAAGAACTGGACAAGAGATGGGGGATCTGGACTAGAGATGGAGGATCCAGACTAGAGATGGAGGATCTGGACTAGAGATGGGGATCTGGACTAGAGTTAGAGATGGAAGATGTGAACTAGAGATGGGAATCTGGACTAGAGATGGGGGATCTGGACTAGAGATGGGGATCTGGACTAGAGATGGGGGGTCTGGACTAGTGATGGGGATCCAGACTAGAGATGGGGGATCCAGAGTAGAGATGGAGGATCTGGAACTAGAGTTAGAGATGGGGGATCTGGACTAGATAGAGATGGGGATATGGACTAGAGATGGGGAATCTGGACTAGAGATGGAGGATCTGGACTAGAGTTAGAGATGGGGGATCCAGACTAGAGATGGAGGATCCGGACTGGAGATGGAGGATCTGGACTAGAGTTAGAGATGGAAGATCTGGACTAGAGACGGGGATCTGGACTAGAGATGGGGATCTGGACTAGAGATTGGGAAGCTTCCAATATCCTCTTGCACAACCTGCCACCCTGAGCCCTTCTGGGCTTCCACAGCTGTCCCAGGCTCCACCTGGCTTTTACCATTGACTAGGGGTCCTCCCTCTGGATCGGGGCATAGATCTCAGCTGGGCCAGTGACATGGATGCCAATGCTGAACCCCAGGCTTATCTGTGAGGACAGTCTCTGGCTCAGCTGGCTCCCCTTGGAATAGTCCAGAGATCAGAGGGCAAGGCAGGGAGCCAGGCGGGCTTCCCCCTCACTGTTCACGGCACTGTTCTACCTCTCTCGGCACTCCTGCTCCCAGCTCTGGGGAATCCCATTTTTACTGGGAGGTGGGGAGGTCGTCTGAGTCCAGTTTGGATGTGCTTCCAGGTACTTTGCACTTTCAGCCATGAGTCACAGCTGGCCACTCTCTGGGCACAGAGCCAAAGGCAGCAGAGGCCTAACTCCCGCCCCCTGGTGTGCTGGCTCTGCCCATTCATTTGTCTGTGAGGAACAGAGCCCAGTCTTGGCCATCTCTGGATATTAGCCCTTACACAGCACGAGAGCTGGACCCCTGGACAGCAAAACTCATTGCTGGGGAGGTCAGCTGGGCCTCCCGACCTCAGTGACTAGGTCCTGGAGGCCCCTGAGGGTACTGAGCCAAGCTCTTCCTGCCCACTGGTGGCTGTGTCTATCTGCCCCCAGGCCCTGGCTGACCCAAGCCCCTGCGGTTGTTCAGCACTGGATTCAAGAGCAGCCAAGCCCAGGTGTTGGGTTGTTCCGGGGAATTTACCAGGAGAAAATTCACTCTGGTGAAACAGGCTCCTCCCTGGCCTTGCCAGGCACAATGCCGACACCCAGTAGACGTGCACTATGTGTTCCATGCAATACTGGGGCCATGCGTATGAAGAGCGATTCATTTTTCAAAGTCAAATGTGTTTTTAATTGTGGTGGCTTCACTCCCCCTGCCTGAACCCTCTCACTCGCCGCCAACACAGCAAAGGAGAGAAAAACCAGAGGGAGGGAGACCAGGACATGACGGGGAAAGGGACAGGCAAGAAGACAGAAGCTTGGTATGGAGCAGGAGGGCCGAATGCGGGGCGCGAGCGGGAGGGCAAAACGAACGTGACAGTGCAGGATTCTCTCCGAGTATCACCCCAGGACCGGCGTCTGCCTACCAGGATGGGAGCGATACAGCCGGCGTTTGTGGGTCCCCGACCAAGGATGACTCCTGGGTTCTGGAGCTACTCACACTTGGGGAGTCAGTGACACGATCTGCAAAGTGCGTGTTGCTGCCGGGAACTTGTCCCGGTTTGGGAAAAGGGAAAACTGAGGGAGCGGTCTGGGGTGCCGTAGGGATCCTCCACTCCCACAGCCCCGGAGGGGGGCTGGTGCCACTTTCTCCCCTGCGGCAGGGGGTTCAGGGTTTACAGGGAAATCCTGGGCAGGAGGCCGAGCTGGTTGTGCGGGAGGTGACCAACCACTCTGGGAGACAGCTGCAGTCTGCAAAGGCTCTGGAGCCCCAACTCGAGCTGGGGTGGAGGGAACCCCCCCTGCTGCTGGGGCTGGGAGGGGTCCCCAGCTGGGCAGGAAAGTCCTCCAGGCCTGGGGCCTGGGCGGGCAAACACTTCCATCTCCCCTCTGCCTGGCTGCCTCCCGCTGGGCTCACAAGCCGCCTCCTCTGAGAACCCTCTTCCCCACTACCAGCCCCAGAGCCCCCTCCCCTGGCCCCTGGGGCCAAAAGCACATCTGCTGCCCACCCTCACTGTCACAACCCCGGGGCCTGGAGGGCCTCCCAGGGGCTCTGACTCCTCTACCCACAGGCCTGGCAAGTGGTTTCCATGCTGCAGATCATTAACCAGCAGTGGGAGATGTACTGAATGTAGAGATTGCTGCCAAACCAAATGTGAAGGGGAGCATGGAAAGGGGCCGCTAAAAGATTCACTCTGGGGAAACTGGCTCCTCTCCGGGCTTTCCGGGCACAGGACCCCTTCCCGGCTTTCCAGGCACAGGACCCCTTCACGGGTCCGGGAAGCCTCAGGCGGCTCATTTCTGTTTTACCGGTGTGTGTGAGTGTGTGTGCGTCACGGGTGTGTGAGTCCGCGAATGTGAGTGCACACGCGCGTAAGTGTGGGTCTGCGGGAGCCCGGGATGCGACCTCCCTGCCCTCTCAAGAGCCGAGCCTGTGTGTCCCCAGCGGAGGGCCAGGTCCCCGGTGCGATCCGCGGCCTCCGTCCCTTCTCCTCCCCCCACGGCGCGCACCCCTTGCCCGCTGCTCCCTGGCCCACGGACCCTTGCGGGGCACTCGGGGCCGCACGTCTGCGGGGGAGGGTCAGCGCGGCGCTCCGGGGCCTCCATCCCCAGCACCCGGAGCCCTCCGACCGCGGGACGCCCCCGCCACGTGCTCCCTTTCCTGCGCCCCCGCTCCCTGCGCGCGCGCCCTCACCTGCGCCCCGGCTCCCCGCGCGCCGCTGCTCCGGGCCGCTGGCGGCTGCCGCTGGTCTCTGCGCGCCGGGGGCCGAGAGCAGAGGGGGCGGAGGGCGACTCCTCCGTGAGGGCGGAGCCAGGGGAGGAGGATCCGGGATCCGCACCCGGGTCCTAGATACAGGAAGGAAACCCCGAGTTCGGGGAAGTCACTCGAGTCTTGGGAACTGCCCTGAATTCACAGAAAAGGTTTATGAGTTTCTTGGTAGTTCTTTATTATATCTTTATTCAAAAGCGCTTCATAAAGAAAACAGGAAAACAACAAAACAGCAGGGGCGTTTTTCCAGGAAAGCTGACCAGATGCTCCTTTGGGGTGGGTGGGTTCGCTTCCCTGCCTGGACCAGGGGAGCCCGCGGGTCCTCGCCTGCGCGCACCGCACGCACGCGCACGCAGGGCCCGCTGTGCCCGCTGAGAATGCACAGGAGCGTGTGAAGGCTGAGAGTTGTCTCAGATGCAAGTGGGGTCCAGACTACACCTGGAGGTGGGGGGGGGGCGGGGGGGCTGCAGGCAGGAGTGAGTAGGAGCGGGGGGCACACAGTTAAAAGGTCAAACTGCTTTTGATTAGCCCCTGGGCAGAACGAGGCCCTCCTCCCAACTCCTCCCCACTGGGGTCCTGCGGCGGGTGGGGAGACACATCCTGGACGAGGTCAGGTGTCCCGGGGGAGGTCAGTCCCAAAGAGAAGTTTGGAAGTGGGGATTTGTTCGTTTCTCACGTACACATGGTTTTGGTGGTTATTATAAAAATCACTAAGGTAAAAGTTTCTCCTTAAGTCTTTGAAGGAGGCCGGTGTGGAAGCTTTGCTGGTGTCCAGGTGTTCTGTGAGCTGTCCTGGACCCTGGCCCAGCTTTCCAAGGCTAGCCAGCCTGGGCCCAGCTTCAGTTAATACAGACCCAGAGGTGGTCACCCGCCCTTCCTCCACTCATTGCCACTCCCCGCTGACCAACCCGCTTAAACTCTGCAAGCTTCAGCTTCCTCCTCACTGAGGGGCTGGTGTGTGGATCTGGCCTGCAGACAGTCCTGTGAGCTTACACCCGGGGCAGGGAGATGTTCCAAAGGAGTAACCTTTGTCTGGTGGGCAGGGAAAGCTCAGAGCTGGTCATCCTCACAGGAAGATGGCACCTCCATGGAGGGGTACGGAGGCCGGAAGCCCCTGCCCCCACCCAGAGGCCAACGAAGCTCTTGAGGGAGGCCCCACAAATGATCACCCAGCCTGGGACCTAAATGCCACCTGCCCTAGGCCTCTGTGCCTGCCCCCCCCAGCCTCCCAGGCACTGACCCTGGGCCTGAAGGAGGGGCTTGTCCCGGAGGCCACCTCCCAAGTCGGCCTTTCTTTCCCATCACAGCCAGCATTGCCCAGGGTCCCTCAACTCAGCAGGGGCTCCTGGGCAGCGGCTGGTGACCGCTAAGTCCCTGAGGCATGGGACTGTTCAGGAGGGAGGGTAGGAGGGTCCCACACGGTGAGGGACCTTGAGGGTCAGCTGAGGGCTGAGACTCTTTTGTCCCCATGCAACCAGATGCCCTGGGGAGTTTGATGTAAATGTGTACCCAGGTAAAGCACTTCCGTATCTTGAAAGTGAAACAAGTTTGTTTGTTTCTTTTTTTTTTTTTTAAGATTTTATTTATTTGACAGAGAGCCACAGCGGGAGAGGGAACACAAGCAGGGGGAGTGGGAGAGGGAGAAGCCAGCTTCCGGCAGAGCAGGGAGCCTGATGTGGGGCTCTATCCCAGGACCCCGGGATCATGACCTGAGCCGAAGGCAGACGCTTAACGGCTGAGCCACCCAGGCGCCCCAAGTTTGTTTATTTTGGAAGTAGTACAGAAACCTTACAAAACCACTCAAATGTTCCGGGAAGGAACAATGAAAGGAGCTGGTGTGTCTCATGGCGACCCCTGCTTCGTTCTCCAGAGGCGATGCTGTGGACACGTCCTCCTAACTTTCTAGAAATGTTCTGTGTGTACAAACACTCACACATATCCCATGTGTGTATCCTTCCCATTTTTTTTTTCAAATCTTTTTATTTATTTTTTAAACAGGCTCCATGCCCAGTGCGGAGCCCAATGGGGGGCTTGAACTCATGACCCTGAGATCACGACCTGAGCTGAGATCAAGAGTCCGATGCTCAAGGGACTGAGCCACGCAGGCGCCCCTGTATCCTTTCCATTTTCATATAATCCTGGGATCCCGTCTGTGGACAGGCGCTCAGCTCCTTCATTTCCCCCTTCCTCCCTCTCTGTAGGATTTCCTATCCCCTCCGTTTCCTCAGATCACAGCTTCTGCTGCATCACATGATGTGTGGGCTTTCATTTCCTTTCTTTGGGTTCCTGGAATTTGTGGTTTCAGTTGTGATTTCCTATCGAGCTGAAAACACTGGTCAGCACCATGTTCTTATACTCCCCAAGGCTGTATTGGTCATCTTTTTGTTACCAGCTGGTGAGCCCATTCTAACTTCATTCATCGTCTGGGTCCCCCATCTCTGAATTAATCCACTCTTGTGAATGCCTCCGGTGTCCTGAGATATATGTGTGTTCCCTGACGGTGCCCCTCATGCCAAGGTGGTCAGTGGGGAAGTGTGCTCTCTTCTGTACTTGCCGATCTTGATCGGCTTGAGCTGTCGATAATTGAGAGGAGTAGGTTGGAATCCCTCACTATGATGGGGGCTTGTCGATTACCTTGCAGTTCTAGCAATCCTTGATCGTATATTTGGAAGTGATTTTATTAGATGCCTTCAGATTCTAAATTGATGTATCTTCTTGGTAAGTTGAGACTTTATCATTAGTGACCCTCTGCACTTCGATCATCCAATTTATTTCAGAGTCTATTTTGTCTGATATCAGTACAGCAACACCAACTCCCTTTGGTTAAAATATTCTTGATCCTTTTCCAGACTTTTCCTTTCAGCTGCTGTGTGTCCACAGGCGTTAGGTGCATCTCTGGTAAGTGGACAATATCTCACTTTTTTTTTTTAAAGATTTTATTTACTTATTGTACAGAGAGAGAACACAAGCAGGGGGAGCAGCAGAGGGAGAGGGAGAAGCAGGCTCCCCATGAGTAGGGAGCCTGATGCAGGACTCAATCCCAGGACCTGAGATCATGACCTGAGCCGAAGGCAGACGCCTAACTGACTCAGCCAGTCATGCGCCCCAGTATCTCACTTTCATCAATGGCTGCCTCACCCCTCAGCACACCTGGGCTGCTCTCTGTCCCCTTCTTTTTCTCATCCAAGATTGTTGCTTGGTTCTTTGTTGTTGTCTTGTTTTCTTTTGTCTAACTTAATCTAATTATAATTTATCTGTTTTAGAAAATTTTAAAGTTTTAAAATGTAAGACTAACTGTAAATTCTTGACTCACGTAGTGTTTCTGCTTTTGGAGGAATCCACAGCTCAGCATGTTGTTTTCCTTCTGAAATCTCTTTCCTCAAACATCTGTTTATTTTTGTCCTGAGCCACCACGGGATTTTGTTTTTATAGTTTCACTTTAGAAAAACTCACATTTTTAAAAAAGATTTTACTTAGTTGAGAGAGAGAGAGCACAAGCAGGGGGAGGAGCAGAAGGAGAGAGAGAAGCAGACTCCCCGCTGAGCAGGGAGCCCTACAAGGGGCTCGATCCCAGGACCCCGTGATCATGACCCCAGCCGAAGGCAGACGCTTGACCGACTAAGCCACCCAGGCGCCCCTGGAAGAATCCTGTTTTTAATATTGATCCTTCCTAGACAAGACCAAGACCATACACTTTTCTTTCTTTTTTTTTTTTTTAAAGATTTTATTTATTCATTTGAGACACAGAGATACAGAGAGAGAGAGAGCATGAGCAGGGAGAGAGGCAGAGGGAGAAGGAGAAGCAGGCTCCCCGCTGAGCCAGGAGCCCGATGCAGGGCTCCATCCCAGGACCCTGGAATCATGACCTGAGCCGAAGGCAGACGCTTAACCATCTGAGCCACCCAGGTGCCCCGACCATACGCTTTTCTATTTATCTGAATGCTCTTTTTATTTTCTTCAGATTATGACATCATTTGTATAAGCAGTTCACATTTCTTACTGAATTTGGGGGTATCTTTGTGGCTGCTTTAGGGAATGTGTGTGTGAGCTGCAGGACGATGCCTCACACGTCTGTATGGCCGCAGTGCGCAGAACTCCTCCTCCTGCTCCACAGTCCTCCGGTGAGCCCTTCAGACGTGGCAGCTTCTGAGGGCAGGATGACCGCAGGTGTTTGGGGGCCCCATCAGCGGCCATGGGTCCTGGACGGGAGACCCTGAAGGGCCTCATAGTCCGGTTCTGTCCAGGGCTGGACCTTGGGCAGACACCTAGGCGGTCACAGCTGGGGCACAGCCGGCTGGACCAGGGACGAGATCCTTACTCGCCCACATCCTTCCCCAGAAGCTGCACCTCGATGTTACTTTCCTGAGGTGGTACCAGGAATGGGGTCTGGGTGGCGGCTCTGCCTGGAAGGGCTGTGGAGGAGAAGGGGTAGGCTCACCAATACCGGCCGGCCACCCTCGGCTGATTTTAAAAATTAAAACACTCTCCCCCCCAGTTATGACAAGGTGTTAATTATAGAACATTTACAAAGTATCGGTAAGAAAGGCCAAATCACCTGTGATGTCACCTCTGGAGGGAATCTTCTGGTACTCATAGTGGTACAGCACTGTGGTACAGCACTGGTACAGCATAGTGACTGTAATTCTCCCCACAGGTGGCAATGATGGGGTTGGTGGGCTCCGTCCTCCGTGTGCCCTGAGGGAGTTCCTGGGCCATTTTTTTGAGATGCCCACCTGTGACTCCGACCAGCCGGTGCCCCACAAGGGCCCCCCACCCCCATCTTTTCAGCCCCTCCCCCACCCTGGGCTGTGGTCTCCACCGCTGTGGGAAGATCGAGTCAACCCTGCTGTCCTCAGGGCACAAAGGGCCCCCTACCCTGTCCAGCTGTTGCTCCCTGCTTGGCCTCCAGCTGATCCCCAAATAGCAAGATGCCCCTTGTTCCAGTCCCTCTGAGCTCAGCGTGGGCATCCTGTCCCAGACTGGGCACAGCTGGGCTTGCAGGAGTGAGCACTCACCCCATCACTCCCTGCCTGACATGTGGGGTGTGGGGGC